TTTCACTTTGTTGCAAATATTTCACTGTCTTTTATATGCTTCGTAATCAGTGGCGGAGCCAGAGAGGCGAAATGCGTCCCACATTCTTCGCCGTAACCGAGCCAGCCTACCATATTCCTTGTCGAACCAGTGTGGTTTGATTGATCCGACTTTCTGAAATTTCAACGGCACAAACTGAGAACAAAGCGAAGCCAATCCTTCCTTTATTACTGTCCAACCGTCCTCCACAGATGTAACATGCGATAGAGACCAATCCATTTGGCTCGCTGCTCGATTTAATCCATCGAAATCAGTTTTCCAGTAGTTGTAAGCTGGTTCCACCGGAGATACACTCGGCAAGTTCAGTTCCATAGTGGCTATCAGCACGGAATGGTCGCTTTTAGCTAGGGGCACCTGGATTCGTATGTCATGCAACCGCTGTTCGCAATTCGTCACCATCAAATCAAGGCACGATGGGTTCGAACGCGACGTCATGCGCGTAGGTTGGCATATGTGTTGCGATGCCCCAGCTTCAAGCAACAAATCAACAAACTTTGATTCGACTTCAGAATAACCGGGCATGAGTTGGATTTCAGGCCATTGAATGTGGGGACAATTGAAGTCACCCATGAGTAGAAAACATGGACGACTCATGTTGTTCCGAAGATGCGGTAGCCAATCTAAAGAGCGGTTCAGAGGGCTACGGTAGAATGCACCTACTGTCAGCTTGCCGCGCCTGAGGTTGATCGAGCACCATACCTGTTCATACAGTCCATCTCCACTTCGGTACATGCTTACAAGCCTCCCACGCAGGGAAGACCGTATATAAAGTAACACATCACCACGAGGATTTGATATTCTATCGCAGCGAAAGTATGAGTAGCCAATGAGATCGACTTCCTCCGCCATTACTTCAGAAGTTAGCCATGTCTCGGCCAGTCCTACGACGTCCGGTCGCTCAGAGGCAAAGAAGCGACACAGCTCATCCCGTTTGCTCATAAGGCTACAGATAGGCATGTGATTTACGGAGTTAGTTAACGCAGAATGGCCTTTTGAACCTTCGACATTTGTGTCGGCAAATGAGGATTCCCCTCAGTGTGTATAAGGCCACAGTGTAGACCGTCCTACTCTATGAAGGTAAGATTCATTCCTTTCGGTCTGACCTGAGATGTCTAAAGTATTTGATCAGTGCTGCCTGCAGAACATTACCGGTGCCGGATAAAACCCACGTATCTACACTGATGATATGCATAAGTGAGCACTAGGCGTTCACAATCCGGCTAGTTTCTTGGTGCAAAAAGTGCCACTGAATATACTGTGTTGGCCTGAAAAAGTACTACAAATGTCTGGTCAACGCTTATCGAAGAGGAGCTTTAAGTTTGCCAGATATAGGATGGTGCAAAGCTGGAGGTGAATAAAAGTTGATTTGGAAAAGGGAAATGAAGTAAGTGCTGTCGGTTCGTCTCGCTTTTCAGACTGGAGTTCACGATAGCCGCCATTGTCTGACTCGAGACTGTACAAGACATGATTCGCAGTGGCCACAAATGGCGTGTTTGCTGTTGTTTTCCAGTTAGATTGCCTGATTAGATCGTGTTCGGTATGAGTTAGCTGCGAATAGCTGATCATGACATGTGGTAAGGAAAACTGAAAAAAAGCTGTCGCGTCAAACCAGTTTTCCCTTTGCACGATGACCAGGGAAGTTAGTAAATAGACTATAGAGAGAACAAGCCAGCCCTCTCATGGACAGCTAAATTTGCAGGTGTCCTCAGCAAATGTCAAACAAATCAACAGAAGTCGATAATTGTAACAACCATCAGGTTGTTTTGTTTCTGAAGATCCATGTTGCAAGTAAACGTACCCGCTGAGCAAACTTTAAAACCAAGATATGATTGCATATACGCTTGATTCTGAAGAGAATTCAGTTCAATTAAGATCCCAGAAAAGAAGTGCGGTAGATCCACTTGCCACGACTCACATCGCAAGAATAACAATAAATAACGGCAAAATGGCGGGGTTAAAGGCGAACAGAGAGTAAAGAAAATGGAATCAAGGAAAGAGTGCGGGAGGCTCATCAGAATGGAACGAAAATTAACAACCAAATGCAAGAAACTGAATGCAGGAACGCCACTGACTGCGCCATGTCTGATAGGGTCTCCAACCATTAATGTGGACCATCCCGAGGCCCCATCCACGACGACGGTACGCACTCGCCTAACGAAGTCTCAGTCAATTTCTTCATGCCTCTATACCACGCCATGGACTGGTCACCTCGTCATTTCACCCAAGTTGGTGCAGCCACGGCCTATAATGCACGTTGAAGAAGCCGGGCGACGGGCATACGGAGGACATGGCCTAGTCAACGTAGGCGATTGATGTTCAGCAAACACTAGGTGAAGATTCAAAAGGCTTCTTAACAAAAACCAACTGACGGGCTTCCGCAATGCACATTCGGTGTCCCCATCAGACAAGAAGAATACTCCGCAAACAACGGTAGTCAAACAGGACCAAGCGTTGAATGTCTTCGTCATGAGCTGACTAGGTCTCTGATCCATACAGTAACACAGACCTTATCGCAGCGTCATACACCCAACCTTTCACTGGCAAGCTGATATCCAGCCGTCTCCATAGATAGGTGAGTCTGTGGAAAGCCATTAGGCTCTTGCTAATACGAGAGGTAAGTTCCTCAGTTATGTGACCACCAGACGTGACAAAGCTACCAAGGCAAGTGTACCGATCCACCAATTCTATTGCTATTCGGTGATAGCTAGAACCGGTGTGTCGGTTCAGTACTGCAGCAGTACTTTGTACTTTGAAGGTGCAAAGTACATGCCGAAGCGTGCGGCGCTACGCTTGGCCATCTAGCAGTGTTTGTATAGCTACCGCGTCAGACCCAAGATCTGTCGTCCGCGTACTCAAGGTTTGTCAGTCGGTCACTTGGCAGAACTTTCAATGCGGTGGAGTCTGAAAGTACCGTCACCCATAATAAGTTCGAAAACAAACTTGTAGACGGAAGGAGATATGGGGTAATTCTGGCAAATCTCACTTGCCGTGGGAAACTCAGATGGTTTCTCTAGACCGTTACATGGCCTCGGGAGTCGCGGTAGAGACTGCATAGTGGAAAGGAATTTAGCCGGCATGCCCTTCATGCCACTAGTTGGCGCGATCAACAGAGTCGAAAGCAGCTTCTAAGTCGAGGAAAATTACCAGAGCTTGCATTAAAATAACCAAACTGAAATGAAACTCCGGGTCTGATGGAAGAGCTACATATATCGATGGCAGCAGCTGCGAGGTAAGTGGTAATCCCTTGCTTAATATACGGGAAAGAGAAGGAAGAGAAATATAAGAGGGACTATTGTCGACGTGGTCGGAGAGAAGGTGCGCGATGTCAGAAACAACTCGTATGAACAGTGATGGGTAACGTGTACTTAGCCCAGAGCAATGTGGTGCATTAAGGACTACACTGACGTCCACCCGACTGCGCGAAATGTCAGTGACACTCCTTAAATACATCACAGTGTGGAATGCGACCTAAAGTTTGGGGTACTGAACGTGAGCTGATGATTCTTCGTGAAAATAGGCAGTGGACAATATATCACGACTTCTAGGAGTACTTAACATCGGGCGTATAACATCAGTTACAACTAAAAAGAAAGGTGACAAATTCATCGAGCCACACAACTGTATGGAAAAAACTGCGAGCCGACACTTGACGTAAATGTCTAGGGAAACATTGGAAACAATGAAGGTTTCGGCTCCAGGTCACAATGAAATATATTACAAATAATAACTGACACCGACCAAGCTAGATGATTAAGTCAAAGTAAATAACTTGTTGTATCAACGCAGAAACAGCATGGACAAAGTAATGAATGCTGGTTGATGATAACGCTATTCATAAGTATCATCCTAGAATAACTAACAGAACATAATTGCGCCAAATAGTGACGAAAGCGTCACTTCAGATATCTCCCCTGACAGCAAAATCGGTTAACGAGAGCATGGTTCGACGAAAAAAGTAACGTAGGTCGCAGTAAGAGACAGAGGCAATGTTGGTTTTGTTAAAACTTAAGACAAGTCTCTGTAAACGTCAATCAAGCTATACACAGGCTACATGAATAAAGGAACGAACTTATAAATACAACGTAGTAAAACGAAATCATGTCAGAGAACAAAAGGAAGGTGAGGTTGTGCGCTAGAGAAAATATTCTCATTATTCTACACGTTAGCAAGGGGTGAGCAGTTCCAGCAACAATACCTTGTACTGAGGTTTCGAAACCTCAGCTGGTCGTTTAGGTTAGAATGCTGCTATGAACCCAAGGCCCGTGGGTGAGAGGGGGATGGAACCAGAGGCACCGAGGTTACAGGCAAAAGCCTGAACAACCTGACGGCGATGACCCGAACCTTGCTGATCGCTGTCGATGAAAATGGCCAGAAGAGAAAAAAGAATGAAATAAGCGAGAGCAATACGCCGATTTTGGGACGACCCTAGAAGAAATGAGCATGGGCGTGTAGTGACCCGAGGATCCCCTGTTAGTCTGTAAAATATTAGTAAAAAATAACATCATCTTGTGCCCAGACAACGTAGGGAGCTTGGCTGTTCGAATGATGAACACTTTTGGTTGAGCAAACCAGACGAATCGCACTTCGCGCGCTTCTGGCTTTACGGCCCTAGAGAGCATTTGCTGCGTCTCGGTTGGAGATCATACCTTTCAAGCTAGCTAGAACCTTTTACGGTGCTTTTAGCTAGTCGGATTGCACGTTTGGACAATAAACGTCTAACTCGAGCATATATTTGTCTTTTTCCGACTTTTCCTTGAGCTGGGACGAATCTTGGTTTATAGCGACTGAACAATCTCGCTACATGCGCAATTCTCGCATGTTAAAACGGTAAGGTAAAATCGAAACAGCCTAGTGCCGGTTTGGCTTTATACCTATATAAAATAAGATAATGGTAAACATGTACCCAACCAACTCAGATTAATCAAAGGGTATCAAGCGACCTATTGGAAGCAAAAACTCACCTTAGTTAGCAGTTCACCGTAAGTCACAGCGCAGTAATCATCCGGATTGTTTCCCTCCCAATGGAATGCAATTTTGTCACTTAGACCATGTTCAACATTCTTATCCAGAATATTGTAGCACATGTTAGTCACGCCATCTTCAAACCACTTCACGAATACAGCGCCCTTGCGGATGTCAAAGTTGTAAGACAGAGCATTTTCCTTCGTTGGTTTATTTTTCCAAAAAAAGCGATGAGCGCAGGCTATCCAGAAATCTTCAGGATGCTCTAAAGATTTGCGATATAGCTCGTCAAACTGTTGCTTTGAGTTGACATGAGCGGCGCACCGAATAGCATCACTCGGCACAATCCCCTTCATGTCCACGCGTTACCGGACCGGGATTCTAACCAACTAGTTAGACACACAAGCTGGTGAGAGTTGTATGGTACGCTAGGCTAAAAGTTTGGTATGTTGGTGATGAAGGTTAAAGTGTACAAACGTAAGATGTAAATGGTGAATGCGGTTATGTGCTGCTATACACGATGGCAATTTTAAGTTCTCTGTTGATGTTCAAGTGGATAACAATAGGTAGCAAATCCCTGCGGCGCCACATTCAAGTTCAAGTTCAGTTGGGACCGGGAAGGGCAAATTTCTGTATTGCCGGGAAAGGGTTTCGCTTCCATTGTCCTCGGTGACATCAAAGATACTTTGAGTGGCTGCACAGTATATTCCTAAATCTGGGAATATTGCGGTGTGTAAAATAAAAGATAATGGTGTTTAATGGTTCAAGTTCAGTTGGGAACGGAACGATAGGATAATCCCGTGAAGGTTCCTTCTTTTGCGTATCGTTGGATCGGGAATTGACAGGTCTGCTTGAGATGTTGAAAAACCTAACACAAAGTCCGCATCACACCCTGTCCAACCAATTACTGCCCACATTTTCCTGCCCAGCAGTCCCTGCCGGGTCGGTTTATGTGAAGTAAAAAAGTGAACGGTAAGCTAAGAAAAGAAGAGGAGGAATGTCAGCTAAGTAATGCTAATACCAAGGTGAGAAGCAAATTAAAAAAGAACGAAGGAAATGCTGAAGATACAAGCCAGTTAGGAGAAGGGGAAGGTTTGGTACTGCCACCCTAGAGCATCTAACTGACGCTCGAAACCCCCTACCGTAGACTCCCTAACCACGTGCGCCAGAAGCGAGTTCCAACGTTAAATAACCCGACGCGACAAGCGAGTTTCCGTCCTTACCCGGTCAGAACGCTGTTTGTGCAACTTCAACGGGTGACCTCGGAGACTAGGCAGCTTGGCGGGACTAAATAGCCAGGACAAGTCTGGACCGATCTTATCCGTTAAGATACGGTAAGTGAGAATCAAGTCTCCTCTAATCCTGCGGTAGTGCATTGAGTACATACCCAAGCTAAGCGAACGTTCAATATACGTTTGCCCGCGTAATCCTTGCAATAATCGTGTACCCACTCGCAAAACCCTCTCCAGTTCCATTTTGTCCCTTACAAGACAAGGTGGACAAGCCTGGATACAGTACCCTAAGTGAGGTCGCACGAAATCTGAGAACTGCTTCACAAAGATATTGGCCGTTAGGACACCGACGGAGCGGCGAATTAACCACATCATACGGAACCCTCTACAAGCAGCTTTCCTCCAATTTTCCCCAGAGTGAAGCAATGAGGTATGGGTGATACCTAGATCAACCTGCTGAATGACAACAGGGAGTTCACTTCCACCAACTACATAGCGTGTAGGGGACTTCAACCTCCAATTCGGAGGACAGAACATTTCGCCTGATTTATGGGCATCAACCATAAGGTTGACCAATCCCAGTTCCTATCCAAAGCACTCTGAATTGCCTCCGAGCCACCAGGGATATCCACAATATTCCAGAGCTTGAGGTCATCAGTAAACAATAGCGAAGGTACTCCAAGCTCCATGTGTAGGTTATTGACATAAATTGCGGAAAGCAACGGCCATAGAACCGAGCCCTGCGGAAAGTCATTAAGAACAGCTTGTCTAAGCGAAAGGCTACGCCCCACGCGTACACACTGTTCTCTGCCCTCTAGGAAAGCAGAACCCCATTTAAGAGCGGCTGCAGATATCCCATCGGATCTCAACATCAATGAGAGTCGTTGAGGTGAGACAGTATCAAAGGCTTTCGAGAAGTCAACGAAAAGCACGTCGATGGTGTGACCGTTGTCTACAGCCTCAGCCCAGCTTTCACGAGTTACAAGCAAATTTGTCAGACATGAAAATCCCTTCCGGAATCCGTGCTGGGCCGCACTGAGAAGGTTAAACTTAATCAGGTGATTCTCCACCGAATCCCGGACAAATTTTGCAAACAACTTAACTACTACTACACTTGTTAAGCTGACAGGCCGGTAGTTCGCGGGCAGAACTCTGTCACCGCCCTTAAAAATCGGACAGATGATTGCCTTCTTCCATTCCGAAGGTAAGGCACAGCTGTCGAGTGATATTGTAAACATGCATGTCAGAGGGCCACTTAGCTCAGCGGCCAATTCATGCATCAGCTTCGGATGAATTGAATCAGGGCCAGAAGCTTTGGAAGGATTTAGCCCTTGCAATAGCCCGAAGACTTGTGTCTCCGTTATGCTTATTTCAGTTAGGCAAGAATCCTCCGGAACTTTAGTGACCAGCTCAACTTGAGGTAGAGAGGCCTCATGAGAAAGACACCAGTATACTGTTCGCTAAGTATACAGGCATTATCATAGTCGGTATGCCCAATGGGTCCCGTCCGCTCGTAGTAAAGCCAGGTATAGACGAGTTTGTACCGCTACGTCTCTTTACGTAGGCAGGGAACTTTGGATTTGTTACGGCTGCGTTAGCCAAATCCTCCTCGTACTGAAGACGAAGAGTTCTAAGCTGACGTTTATTTTAATTCTAACCGCTCGATAGCTTTCGTAGGTGCTGGTTGATGAAGCCGCTTGGTAAGCTCGCCAGCACTTAGAGCGCTTCCTGAGCAGGTATTTACCTGTATGATCTATCCATGGAGGCTGCGCCCGTGTCACCCTTCTCTTAGTGAATGGGATGTGGGGAGCAGAGATCTCGGTGAGGTACGCTTTAAATTTCTCCCAGGCTGTCTCAACGGTGTCAGCCAAGGTGATCGCACAACGCAAAACTGAATCTTTGGCTAGCATTGCGTTAAAGTCTGCCCGCCAAATATTTGGACATGCCTCAGCGGTAGCTTGATGACACTTAGTTAGAGCACATCGAAAGGATATGCAGACATGGTCACTGGCTCCTAGAGGACAGTCGTAGGTAATATCACTTACGAAATCGTGTGACTTCGCAAAAATAAGATCCAAGGTAGACGGAATTTGGTTGCGCATACATCTAGTCGGGAGGTCCACGAACTGATGCAAAGGCAGTTGCAGTTGTTAGCTCAAGGAGATCCGAACCGAAAGTGCCCACCGCCGAACTGCAAGATAGATCAGCCCAGCAGACTTCAGGGAGGTTGAAGTCACCCAGTATTAGACACCTATTGGCAGCCTGAGTACGAATAAATTCAATAACCTCCCTGGAGATACTACCAGGACTTCGATATACCACTACAACTGTAAACTGAGCAGAGGAAGTGCACAAAATAGCCGAGAGGGCTTCAACAGTTTGATCCGGCGACTGTAACACACAAGTCTTCAACACATCAATTTTACAATTCACATATAGGGCGACGCCTCCACCTTGGCGGCCAACGGAGCGATCGCATCTAAGCAGTGCGTAGCCAGGAAAACATACTTCACCGGCTGTGATTTTCAGGACTGCCACGTTTCTATGATAGCAAGTATGTCGGGACGAGATTTGTCTACAAGTAGACCCACCTCGTGTACCTTGTTCCTTAGGCTACGCACATCACTAAGCACTACCCGAAGGAACTCGGCACGACCAGCCCTGGGTCGTACGCTACCAGGAGGGATTCTGGTAGGGCAGAATTTGATTTCCGGCTGACCACCTGAAAACCCACAAGACGAAGGGCTTGCTCACCAGTCGCCCGCCTGCTTTTGAGGCTTTTGATGGCTTCCTTTAACTTCAGTCGATCTGCCAGTGGGAGGTCCGGCTGAACGCTGACATTACTACCCTTGAGTTTGAAAGCAAAGCGCATTAACGCTTTGCGTTCCTCCGGGGTTGAGAGGACTACACGAAGTAGTCGGGGTCGCGGATTTGGCGTGTCAACAGGGACGTTCCCCAATCTGGTTAATATCCTGATAGTGACACCGGGGAAACCAGGTGGAAGCATCTTGTTGACGCATTTTGAACCACTGGAGGTCATCCAGCATGCGCTCCTTTGGAAGAGCTGCCCCGGATTCACCAACGTTACGAAAGCTAACGCTACTATCAGTAAAAGAATCACCTCGACTAGGCATATTCCTTCCATACTTCTTCGACGCGACCTCAGTTTCGACCGGTTTGGCATATGACACGGCGCGTTTCTTCGCCAAGTGAGCTGGAGTAATTGAGGTTGTGGCTTTATCCTCTGCCTCCAAATCCCTCCGCGGTCTAGTATTTGCAGACTTTACGGGTGTGGCCGAAGTCGACATCGCGCCTTGCTTCGCCAATGGAACTGGGGTGATTGGAGTTGGAGTTTTGTGTTCCACCTCCAATACCTTAATGCTTTCAGTACCTTCAGGCTTTGAGGCAGCCTAAGGGAATTTCTTAGCCCTCTTTCTCCTGCTTTTCTTGGGCCCAGGGGCAATTAGTTCAGTCACGCTTTGGACGGTTTCCAGTACGACATCAGAGGCCCCTTTAGAGGCCTTCTGGACCATTAGGACACACGACACGGTAGACATCACCTCAATCGGATTTCCATCGACAGCAATTCCTTCAATGAGCCGACAGGTGAAGTGGGAACGGATGTTTTATGGAGCAAATCAGTGTTAAAGCAATTGTTTCATGTATGCAAAGCTTGTGCCTGCATGCAGCGACTGATAAAAGTAACTTACTTCCTTGAATAAGTTCAAGTTCAGTTCAAATGGAGCCGGAACAGTAGGATACATCCCCGTGGTGTTCCTTCCTTGACGCGTCGTAGATCCAAGGTATTATAACTGGAATAACATAACTGGAATACAGAATACTGGAATACTGGAATACAGAAGAGTCAGAACAGCGCGCGAATCACACCCCGGTCAAACAATTAATACCCACGCGACCTGCAGTGGCAATACCCACCGCATTGGTCACGTAAAATAAGAAAAGGGAAGTATGAAAGTAATAAGAGCGTCAAGAAAAACGTAGGATTTAATAATTCAATAAGACGAATAAGCTAGGACGTGTAGGGGAATGTTCAGAATTGAAGGCCAAGAGCGTCGCATCGGTGTCCGAACTCTTTCACTAATGAGGCCAATACCACGTTCTCGGGCGACGCACCCCGAGAATCCACCACTCGGCGTGATAAACGAAAGTCCCCCGGTTTCCATCGGAACGATGTTTGTGTAGCTTCAGC